GTAACAAACTATCTCTGTTGTTATAAAAATATATATATATATATATATATTATAACATTACAAATTTGTTAAAGAACAAAATATATTAACAGGCATAACATTAACGACAAATTTATTATAATATCTCTGTCGTTTTACACATAAAATTCAGTTTAAATTGTAATATGTATTGTTTGCAAAGTGAACTTATTAATAAATAGTTATCTTTAGTCTATAAAATATAAAAGAATGAATAAAATATTATTAAATATATTTACTTACGTTGAATATTGAATAATGAATTCACATAAATTTCTTCGACTTTCTATCTGTTCAGCTTAAAGAAGGTTAATAGTTATACATTATACACATTCAAAGATAAAATTTAATCAAAACTTCAAAGTTTAAAGTTTAATCACTTGTTTATGTTAGTGTAAATTGTTATCGTATTCGAAAATCGTAATATTAAATCTACATAATGTAAACTGAAAACTCCAGATTTCTACTTAATAGAAACGTTTGGAATCGATTCAAATAAGCCCTGTTTAACCACGTTTATGTTTGAAACAGTTAACTAAGATTAATGTTAATGTGAATATCGATATTAGTCCATGTGTTGAAACGGCTGTCTCAAGTTCAGCGCATAAAACTTTAGCGATATAAATTTTGACCAAGAATGCAAATCGAAACATTTTAGTAAATTTGTAATATGTCTGTCAATATATTTGCTATACGTTTTTACTTGCAGCGTGATGGATTAGGATAGATTTTGTTTGTCAAATGTTACGTTAATAGCAGAATAATAAAACACTAGACGCAGTCACTCGATGAATATTGAAACGCTACAGAAACAGGTCAGATGTTACATAATAAACTTCATTTCTGATAGAGACAGCTTCGTGTTGCTTTGTAGTAGTTGCATCTTTTNCACTATTGGTCCAGACTCTATCAATCTTCTCGCGAAACGACGTTATAGGAGGTACGTTATACGAAAGTTGCTACAATTTTTTTCGCTACGTTATAGGAATTTCCGTTATAGGAACGTACGTTATAGGGGGGGTCGACTGTATGTAAAAATCCTTAAAGAAATTTTAAAAAACTGGAATTATTCAAAGAATAACGTACAGGAAAAATTGCACAATATACAAATTGAAAATGCTGGCGAATTTAACATAAGAGTTTTTGTTTACACACATAGATAAGAAATATACTGACCGGTTTTGTTCAGATTTAATAAACATACGTAATCAGGTAACTGTTCTCTGAAGCCCACCAGCCAAGCGGTCTTCGTACCCTGAACACTACGAGTTCTGTCGTGGTTCGCGCCACGTTCCGATGGGCTGGCCACGTGGAGTTTTTTGGGTTTTCTCCACGTCTTTAACGTCTAAATAGAGTTCAGTTTCCCTTAAAAAAAGACTTTTCGGAAAGCATCGCATTAGTATTTCGTTGCAATCGCTTAATATAAACAATAAACTTTACTTTGGTGTCTTTCAATCTGAGGTAATTCAAGACATATGACAGACAGAACTAGCAAATATTCTTAAAACAAATTAAGATTTTTTATGTCTTTTAAACATAGATTTAAATAATCAACATTATTGAATATTTGAAGTATTGTTATAATTTAAACATTCAATTTCACTGCTCATTTCCTGTGTATTCAGTTTTTTGTGTAGAACTTTTTGAACATAAAGGAATGAAATCTAAAAGACTGAGTATTACTGGCAATATAACAAGACTATGAAACGAAGCGAATATAACCATTAATGTTGTAATTTTAAAAAACGTTACGAACGATTCTGATGGACCAAAGTATAACACCGAAATACCTAAAAAAGTGGATATACAAGCTTGTGTTACTGGATACCCAGCAGCATATAAACAACTCTTAATTTTCTCGTTCGGTGTTTTTTTTTCGCAGTTGATATATGCGTAAGCCATATGAACTGTATAATCTACACAAAATCCTGTACATACAACTAACGTCATTAAAGTGGTAGTATCCATAGTCACGTTCCATAAAGACATGTATCCAAACAGACCAGCCTGAATAGAAACAATAGTGATGGCAACAGACAAAAGAAACAAAACCTTTGGGGTGAATAAAAGAAAAACTAAAATGACTAACGCGGCAGCAGAACAAATAGCTTTTATACAATTTGACAGAATATTTATATATAGTTCATAAAATATAAATCTGAAATTGTATGCAATAATTTGAAACTTGCTGTTAGAGGCAATTTTTCTTACATTTTCAAAGAAATATTTTTCGTCAATTCGAGATTCCTCATCCAAACTCGAAACGATAAATCTGGATGCAGTAATTTTATCACCTTCTTCGTTGAAGACAACATCATTTTTAAACCTGTTTGCCATTTTAACTTTTAAGAAAATATTTTTAAATGCACTAATAAAGTCTTTCGAATCACTCAGATTGTAACTAGAAAGCGAAAACTCTGCTACCGGAGTTTTAGTAAATGCCAGAAACTCTCTCAGCCAACTTTCTGTGGTCGACGAATCGGATATAAATGGAGCAGATTCGAAACTTTGTACAAGATTTTCTATGTCATTTTGTACAGTGACATTTGAGTAGTCTAATGTCTGGTTAATGGCAATTTGTACTTGATGACTATAATTAGAAAAATACGTTTTTTCAAGTCTTAGATATTCAGTTACGTAAGAAGAGTAAGGAAAGAGTTTACTGACATCATCTCCTTCTCGAATGAATTTCATACCGTATACTGCAGCAGTTACATAAATTATATACAAGATGATTACGCTAAACTTACTAATTGATTTTCCAAGCATTTCGCCTAAAACATTACTGAAGAATATCATGAAAACATTTTCTTTGTTATTCTGTTTCGATGTCACTTGTATTCTGTTTTCAAGTTTTATATGAGTGCGATTGATCGGCCAGCAAAAAACAGAATGCATCTTATTCTTCTCTCTGTATCCATCGAGTGCCATGAGTCCTCCGAAAAAGAATAACTGATAAATATAGTCAAAGACTATTGCTAATGCGGCGTACGCGCAGAATATATGAATCACTTTGTATGGTGTGACAAATCCCATGCAAAAGGCAAGAAAATTTGTCAGAGAGGTAATCGTGATAGACACTGCAGCTTCCGCATAAGCTTCTTTCATTCTGTCGGGTACGGAAGCGTTCACGTCAGTCCTTCTCCACGCTGCTATCAAAATAAATGCATCGTCCACACCAATACCTGAAATATTCATAATAATATTGAATTAAAATTTTGAATATTTTCACATAAAGTCTCTGTAATAAGTTTTAAACGATAAATTTATCACTATTTAAAGATTTAGCGAAAAGTCTTTAAATGAATATTAAATGAATTTTCACAAGAAGGAATATAATGTGACAATACACGTTTTATCATAAAAGTGTTAATACTGAAAACGAGGAAAAAACTTTTATATAGATGATCATTCGTGTTAAAGCTATGTTCCATGTATAGGGTACAGTACAATTAAGTTTTGGTATTAAGAAAAAAAGAAAAGTTTTCTTTGCATAAGCACATGTGTTGAAGCTATGTTCAGAAAATAAAAGTTGACAGATTGTTGAATATTTTTTTATTTGTTATATAAAAGTCTAGCTGAAACGCTCATTTCTTTTGAAGCTGTTTTATAAAAATAATGATCATATTGCAACTGTACATTTAATATTTAACCATGAAACAAGTTACACGTGTGGAGCAAATATCAAAATGTAGATATACACAATATGCTAATTTTACAGCGTAGCTGACATATTTGTACAACAAAAGTTGCGATTTTTGGTGTACTATTTACAGATTTTGACTCGTTCTCTCGTCTACATCAGCTTACTTAATATGACGCTTGCGTTACGCTGCGTGCAATTGTTTTTTGCTTAAAAGATTTTTGTAATTTTGTTGCTGTAATCTTTTTACAAACAGTTTGTGTTTAACAAATATGGAAAATATAGCTACATCTATGTAGTTTCACGATATTGTATGCTTTTTGTCTTATATGTTCCTTACATTTAAAAGTGATCGACAATTTTGGATGTAGTGAAGTACGAGGTAAAGCGATTTTTAAATAGTAAAATCAATCTCTACGGGTTTAAGTCCAAGTTATTCCGAGTTATGTTTTTACGTTAATGTATTTTCAAATGATTACATATAGTAACGATAACGAATGCAAGAATTGGGTCCCCCTGTTTCTGGACTAATTAGCGAATTTTTAGATGGGTCTAAAAGTATGTTCGATTTCCCGCAAAAACTATAAAAAAACTGCATCTGCGTCTTGCACGTCGCTTTCTCTTAACAATTCCATTGTTACGTAACACTTCCATTGTTGACACTTTCATTGTTACTTAACACTTCCATTGTTACTTAGCATTTTTATTGTTACTTAACACTTCCATTGTTGATGGAAGTGTTAAGCCTTAATCCTGTCCCTCTCCCCCGTGGGGAGGTATTTCGAAAAAACCTTTCTTAGTGTACCCTTCAAATTTCAACTTTCAACTCCTAACCTTTTTGGCTCTGCACAGATTAATATTATTATTATTATTATCAACTCGTCTCGATAATATATATATAGATTAATTGCACCTTTTTCCTTTGTTAGTATTATGAAGCATGAAAGTAGACATGGGATATTTGGCAAGTTTCCCGTTATAATATCATTTTAATATTATTACCCGATCGCAAACGAACAGCTTAATTAACCAAGATTAGAATGAACTTTGTTATCCTTTTGAGGGAAACGGCTTTCAATAAAATTATAGATCAGATATACCTTATCAATTCATATTTTTGGAAAGTAAATAAATATTTCTGGGTGCTTTTAATCTTCAAGTATCTGTTCTTAAGACTCAATTTAATTTAAATGTTTGTGTCAACATAATTTGAAAACTGATTTTGTTACATTACTGGTTTTCTAAACTCCTAAGCTTTCAAAATAACCTTTCTTAAATATATTTCAAAGAATTCATTTGTATTTGGAGTCAACTTCTCAATTTTAGCCTTTTCTTCAGTGAATATAATTTTTATAAAACAAATCTATACGTTATAAAAACTAGACAGTGTTTGATCTGATTACTTATTACAAATGGAAGAACCAATTTGTGCATTTATTGAGTACTTTTAACAGTTGTTACTACTGAGACATTTCAAATGCTTACATCTGTTACATCTGTATAGCTCTGAGACACACCATATTGTTACTTCATGAAATGCATAAAGTGACAATATGATCTGGACGATACTCATGATGGTACGGCATGCAAGTACTGTACTTGCATATAAGATGGTATATACAAGAATTTAGATAGCAAATATTCACTGGTAAGAAATTAATTACTATCCTTTTTCAATCGCTCGACGACCTAGTTCTATAAATCTGAATAAATCTTATTTCTTCTGTGGCGGAGATACTGACGAAGTGTGTTTTTCGAAAGTATGCTGTGAACTTGGTAGCTTGCAAAGTTATTAACAGGCTGTGTAAGAGAATCATCGCAAAGCAGTACAGTGACGGGTTAAATACACTATTTATCGCATTTAGGTTTTGATCATTAGAAGGAGCAATTGCTTCAGCATTGCTACGATCTCTGTAATGTATGAATGTATTGTAGAAATGTAATGTGTTTGCTGCTCGAAAAAGTTATAGTGAAAACTTTTGATACTAACGTATTACCGTAATGACTACGGCATGTTGAAACCATCACACAACACAGGGTTTTGTTCTTTGGATAGCTGAATATTTTTTTAGATAGCGTTGAATAGAAATAATTTAAATTCGATTATCTCAATATGTAAAGTTATCAGAAAAAAATTTGCAATATACCAATAATTTTTTTAAATATCTAATGTTCATTATTTATATCGAATTTTGTCAAAACATACCTGAAATCAATAAGAGGATTATTACATTAATTGATGTGTAATCCATTTTACAGTAACACAGTAGACCAAATGCTGCGGCAGTTGTTAAGAATGGTGATGCGCATCCGGCAATACCTAACCACGGTTTGCTACTGAGTGAATCAGTCGACAAGCAGGAAACTGCTGAAAATACCAGCATAATTGGAGCAATAATCAAAATAAGAGGCAATGCACTTTCGCCAATCCTGTTAATTTCATTATTAATAGAATGACTGAACATTTTAGATATTTTAATATTGTTGAATTTAATGTTTGATAATGCTTCTAAACACATCTGTTCCCATTTCAGTGCCATTTGTTTCTTCTCTTTTGTGGTATGGTCCAATCCATAAAACAATCTAATTGCACTGGAATCTCGAATCATGTTTTTTTCATTTAAAGTCACTCCTCCGAATTCAAAAGCAGACAGTATTAATCTGTCCTGAGAGATGGCAAATGGATATCTGTAATAAGTTTGTAAAAATATTAAAAAATTTTAATTACAAACACTAATAACAGGAATTCAATGAAAATATAATTTAAAGTTATAAATATACATGTTATTGTAACATTTAAATTATTTTACTTACTCTACTGTGCTGTACTTACGTGTTAATTTTTATCTTACTGATAAAAATTAACTCGTAGACAGTTGGAAAACAATCAGTAGAGAGGTTGCAGCCGTCGTTTTCATTGCGAAAACGTAAACTTCAGGTGTCGAGCGCCTTCATTTACCAAGACTAGAAAGTTCACAATGGTGTTTGGTAGGTTGGCATGATGAGTGAAAGATCGGCTTAAACTTCTTTATTTTTATTTTTTTGGGTTATAATTGTGACTTTTTTTTATTAAAATAATGATTATATATGTATATATGAATAATATTGTAAAAATTAGATGATTTTAATTCAGAAATTATTGAATTATTGAATATTATATAATGTGATGTGAAGTGACCATGGAAACTCTATTTTCACTTTTTCTTTTGTAGTCAACTGATGAGGTACTGTATTAATCTTGTTGAATGAGGATGAAAGTTATGAAGAAGCCATTCTCTTATGTCATATGACTTAAACTATACCTGTGGCAAAAGTAAGAATGAATTTAAATGAAATTACAAATTTTGATTGCTTGTTTTATTTTCGGTAATGATTAAATTAAAATAAAAAATGAAAAAACAAAAAAAAATAATACTCATAAAATTTTATAATTTTAACATATTCTTAAGAGATGAATTGTTTTGCCTCTATTCTGCTTTACGTCTTCCATCTGTAATTATTTGTGAAAATAGATCACGCTCACTTGGAATTGAAGCGTTATGTATTTTTTTTACGAAGATGATAATTTATCCTAATTGACTTGATGGTATTTCTGTTTTCTTGGGGAAAACAAAACGTTATCTTTCACGATTTGTGCATGAAACACTAAATACCATTTACAATAGCCATTCTAAATCGTTATTGAATATCGACGAAATAAAACTAACAAGATAAAAATTAAAATTATTTAGCTAAGTAATAACAGCAAAAAATGGTCCTTTCACAAATTGTTAGGAGTTCATAAATGGAATGGCATGCCCTATTTTCGGCCAAAAACACATCAAAATGTGATATTCAGTCAGTGGCCATAAACGATAATTTTTACATATATTTTTCCAAGCAGCTTTTCTATTTTTATACGCATACGGATTTACATCCACTACTTCTCTCAACAGAAGTATGTCGTTGCAATAGTAAAAACGCATTGGAACTTTCCTATTGTTTCTTACGGTAGAAAACACGACGCTAATTAAAGTCAAAATAATTATTTCGTGTTATTAAAGATCCTATAAATATTTTAAAATAGTTTATTTTGTTTAATTACGTTCACTGGTAACATTCATCATTGTTAAACGTTTCCGTCAGTTTTCAACAATATCCCACAAGTCAGTGTGCGACGTGAACGTGTGGCTAACGTGTTTTACTTGGAGCTCAAACGTCAAACGTGTACTTCTGCTTGCCGTACAAGTTTAACGTTCGATTTTCGGCCGCAAACTCTAGTTTTGTACGATATTAAGGACCAAATGCCAATTTTTAAAAATGAGAGATTCTAAAATTTATTGAAAATCATAAAATATTAAAATTAATTGACACTATAAATCATTATTTGATAAATATAATGCAAGATGTAAATAATTAAAGTGAGATATGCGATGTTATCGGCGCAAAGATTTAATAGAGTCATCTTCAATATAGTGGAACACTTGTGGTAATTACAGATGATGTGTACTACGACACAGAAAAATAAATCCCGTTTTTAGCTGTATGAAAAATTCAGCTTTAATAGAGTATTGGCAAAGACTAGACTATTTGTACTTCACCTGATAAGGAAAAACGTCATACAAACTGTATCAGGTTAAATCAAAAATTTAATATAATTTCAATTGAATATGTCTTTAAAATATTTCGATCTTGTAGTCGATTAAATGACATTGAAACAGAAACTTTGAAAAAAAATTAATCTTAATACGTAAAATTTCCTTTTCTTTCTTTATGTGTTTGATCTAGATTAAAATATAACAAAGATATTGATTGTTGTATAAATAAAGTAGATATTAGCTGAGGTTCTCAATCGAAAATCTCGTACAAGCGGAAAGTTTTATAACTTGACTATATCAATAATCAAATTTAACATTGGTTAGAAAATTATACTTTAATAAATTAAACGAATAAGTATATATTTATGTATTTACTTCAATATTAATAATATTTATTATACGTTTTTTGAAATGTAATATATTTTTTATTATTAATAAAGAATACTGTTTTGTCTATTACAGCAGTTTTCGAAACTCACTATATATTACCCCATGAATGACAATGGTAGAACCAGAGTCGATGGATATACTCTTCCTTGCGCTTCCAATAGCTATAATGATACTGGTGTAATAAATATTTCTGTCACTTCGAGGGCTTCAATCGCTCCACGGCGTAAGATTGGCTTGAGCATAGGAAGAATCAGCCGTATCCATTCGAAATTCCTTTAATATATGAAATTTTCTTGTTTTTAACTCAGTTATTGCTTTTGTCTTTTTCAAAGTACTGCTTATAAATATTATTTTCATGCGTTATTGAACATTATTTATTCGTAAATCTCGTTAATATTTATAATTTCTATTAACTGTCACTTTCACGATTTTAGAATTATTAGACTGTAAAATACAAAACTATTCGAATTGAAATATTACTTACTATTCTCAATGAAGTAAAATTGTATAGCAGATTTTATGTAGAGTTAAACGATTTTTTAAATAATATATTAACTCCAATCTGAATTAAATTTCTATGGTTATTTAAACGTGTCAGAAAATAAGCTATACTTTTCTTAATTATATTTTCATAGATATGTAATAAAATAAGACAGTAAAATGAAAATCTATTATACACAGAACATTATGTGCAAAACTTTTATTTACAATATGTAGCAATATAACATTTCTAAACAGATCTCTATTTAAAATTTAGATAAATTAAATCGAAAATAAATTATTTCGATTTATCCAGATCTTCATCTGTAAGTTTAAATTATCATCTTATTAAATTTTTTTATAAACCGAATATACTTTTTCCTTTTTACACATAAAATGAAATTTTAAAATGTAATTACAAATAATTTTTTTACAGAAAAATAGAAAAAAGTTACAAGAATACTTGGACACAGAAAAACTATCTGCAACCTGAAACATTAACTGTACTGGATAGTATAGAGCAAAGAGCAATACTTACATCGACTCTGGTAAAAGAAAAGAACATGCGTTCAACCCTGGCCAAAAGCTTCCAACGTGGGGTTTTCAACCAAAAATCAAAATACAAATTTTTGCGATGCTAATAAATTCGGGTATAATCAAGAGTATATTATGTCTGAAACTAACCTATAAATACAAATCTAATATTTATACATTAATATTAATGCATTAATAAATGTAGTGAGCATTAACTAAGAAATTGCTGCAGGTTACTTTATTAAAATGCTTGTAATCAATGGCCCTCTAAGCTGCGCGGCTGCGCGGCCGCGCACTGCTCAAATTGTTGCCGCGCAGGCGAGCATGCACACCGATTTGAATTGTTGTTTACTTATTTCTCACTCTGTCTGCAACATGATTATTGCTGCGTATATTTCGATTAGATACATTAAATCATTGACAAAAAATAATATTTCGTATAAAAGTATGTTTTAAAATGAATTTTAATGTCAACTTTATAATTAACTAGCTGTTACCCGCGACTTCGCCCGCGAAAATTTTGCAAACAAACCCCATTTATATTCAGTATTTCAACAACGATAGTAATTGTTATATAACACCTACCGCTGAGAATGATGAGAATTGCCGAGAATCAAACAAACTATTTTCAATTTGATCAATTTTCTGAAACGTTTACAATCGTTCCATAATGGAACCAATACGCAATAGCAAATTCGAATTTAAACGGTTCGAACATTTTTAAAATCGAAATAGATAAAAATATTTATAACAATGTCTGAAATGTTATTAATTTAATAAACCTAAGTACTCGATGAAGACTAAATCCTCTCCCTCTCCCGCCCACGGGAAAATTTCGAAAAATCCCTTCTTGGTGTGCATTGCCATGGCGTACCTACCCTACTAAAACGCAGATAAAAACAAAAAATCGCATCTAAAATAGTACAGTAGAAGCCGTTCTTCCGGTTGAGCCTTAATGCTCTCCCCCGTGGAAGAATTTCGAAAAATTCCTTCTTACAAGTTAGTGTGCGTTTCCATGACGTACCCTAACTGTGTACCAAATTTCACCTCTTTAGGTTCAGCGGTTTGCTCTGGGCAAACCGCTGAACCTAAAGAGATGAGTCATTCAGTCAGTCAGTCAGGACAAGCAATTTTATATATTTAGATTAATTTTATTTTTACAGGAAAACATAAGATTGTTTATATATATGCTCAAAAAAATTTTTTGCTCAGAGAAGTATATGTTCCGCTCATCTACAAAAAAAATTAGAGGGAACATTGCTTATAATATTAGAAAATTTTTACAAAGAAATTTATTTATACAGGAAACACACCGTGAATTATCAATTCTATATTACACGACTACAATGTTTATTTTAGACAGTTTAAAATGGGAAAATTCCATAAGAAAAATAAGAACTTACTTGATGTTGTATTTTGCTTTCTTGATATCATTTGTTTTTCCTTTCAAAGTTAAAACAAAATTTTCGTGGCAAATATTTCCGTCTGTCTTACAACACAAATCTTCGAAACGTCGGAATGAATTGTAAGAAAGAATACTGACATTTTGAATAATTTCGTCAAGTTTGATGACATCTTCGATTATTGATTCCTCCAATACAGAAGTTCCGTTTTTAGGTTTAACAATTACTCCTGCAAATGCCTCTGATCTTAATAATCTTGTGAAATCACATTGTGACATGTTGGCTGGAAAAATCGATTCAATAGCTGCTCTGTCAATCCAGCTTCTTGCATTGGATGGAACATAAAGATATTGTACATCCTTCTGTAGCGGAATATTTAACAGTCCGGTTGCTAAAACGAGTGACATTATAAAGGAGACTGCAACGTATATTTGAGGATAACAACCGACATGAAATCCAATACGAGATAATGTTGTAGAGACAATCCTTCTTATATTTCTATGCTCGATTTTCATTCTAAAATCATAAAATAAATGAAAAACTTCAAGAAATAGATCGCTATAAAATGAAATTGGTTTTCTTTAAATTAACTAATACGATAAAATAAATAGTGACGTAACGAAAGTTTAGTACAAGGGTTATAGAACGTCGATGCTCGATAAAGATAATATTAATATGTCGTAATAAAAATGCTATTAATTTGAAAATGCATTTATTCAATACGCCTTTGTAAAGGTTTTGTTAAATATTAATTAGAGTTATTTTTTTATCAGAACAATATATGTAAATTGTGCTATTATCTAATGAAATTTTGTGACTTCAAGTAGAGAGTACTAATTAAGCCATCGATATTTCATATATATATATATGAAATATCGTTATATATGAAATGCAACGTTATAATATATATATATATTTTAATTTTATGTGTAAAACGACAGAGATAGTTTTTGTAACAAACTTGTAACGTTATAATATATATAATA